AGTGGCATGTGAGTATAGCACTTCTGAGACTGCTGCAGTAAAAGCCATCCACAAGCCCTGCTCTTCTTCATAGCAGCCCATGAGTAAACCCTCTGCTCGTGCAAATCAGCCATAGCTTGAATGGAGATGTGGTGCTGTGGGCTTGGTGCTGGCAACAGCACTGAGGTAGCTACTGAAATTTAAGAATATGGCTGCCACTGCTTCTGACACCAGCTTTGCCAGTCCCAGAGATGTGTGCTTTCCTGGTTCTGATTGTGTTTTATGTAGAGTGAAAGACATTTGGCTGTATTTCTCACTTTCTTGGGCAGCTTTATGGTGAGCTGTAAGTAAACATAGAGATAAAAACATAGCAAAGATCAGTATTCAAGAGAGTTGATGTTCTATTTTCAGTGCGAATGGCTGCTAGTTTGTGTCAGCCCCAAACTTAGTAGTGCCCGAAATCAATTCTCCTCTCAGAGAGCCTTCAGGGTAAATATGCAAGTCAAATAAAAGAGGAATGGGGATAGAAAACATTATCCTCATTCTCCTATTGTGCTAAAAACTGTACAGAAAGAGAGGATTAAGCTTATCCATGGCTATAACTGTAATCTGCGTGTTCATTTTCATACTTCCCTACAGATTCCCCCCAGGGTTTGGGTTATTTGGCTTACTCTCTTGGCACAGCCCTGTCTCAGTGCCCCTTGTTTGAACGATGAGACGTGGGAAGAGAAATTGCGCTGCAGCACTGAGACCAGGGACAGCAGAGGAAGATGGTGAAGTCATGTGCTGATTGGGCTGTGAGCTCACCCAGGAGAAACTCCTTGGGAGCACCAGTCCAGTGGGCTGCCTTAGTGCAATGCTGCTTATGCAGCCACAGTGCTGCAAACTCCTGGGGCAGGAAGGACATTGGACTTGTAGGTATGTTTGTTCTGCTTCTGTCTCTGATGTGTCTGCTTTCAGGCACTGTGAGAGAGAAGGCGTTGGGATATGCAAGCCTGTGTTCTGCTGCAGCATGGCCAGTGTTGTGGTGTCAGACAAATCTGGTTCTTATCAACTCATTTAAAGACCTCTGGCAAGATCAGGAATTAAACTCACACTTCTTAGAATACTTATGCCCATTCCATAGCTACAAAATTGTTTTCCTTTCAGCAGCCAATTGCTCTCAGTTTTTTGTTTTTTGTTTTTGTTTTGAAGGGAAAAAAGTCACTCTACCTGGTAAAGGACCACATGGAAGAACTGAAGTGTGGGAGGAAGATGTCAGCATGGCTGACATCTGAGGCTCAGGGCTGATTCGAGCCCGTGGAAATTGGTGGAAAGATTCCCACAAACTCCAAAAGGCTTTGGCTCAGATCCTCACTGAGCAGCGATTTCCCTCATTGACCAAGAGAAAATGGGTTATTCCTAGAGAGAGGGGAAGCTGCTGGCATTTTTACAAAAAGCCAAGTGCCAGCACAATTCTTCAAAGAAGTCTTTGGACTAATCCTTTCCTCTTATGACACTAATGTAATTTTGTGTCGTATTTGACAGCGTGCCAAAAAATTGTGTCAAATAAATCCAAGTTTTGTGAATGAAATTAATTGGAATAGGCGTTGGCTCCCGCCCCACTCTTCAGCAATGCAGGAGTGTGTTTCCAGAGGGCTGCCTTGCAGACTGCTTAGTTTTTGCTCAGTGATGATGACTGGAGGAACAGCAAAAAAGAAGGTTTCGTGCATGTGGAAGCTGTGAGACTGACAGCTTGAGAGGCCAAAACTGACATTAGCACTGGTTAAGGGTTAGCAGGGTGGTCTTGTGCTGAATGTTCAGTTGTGAACTCCTCCATGCATTCCACTGTGCCGCTGGGCATGTCTCCTGGTCTCTCAGCTCCTCACCTGCCAGGTGTTGCTGATGCTTTGTTATCTGAGATCTTTGGGGAGAGGTTCTGTTAAAGGGTATCTTAAGCACGCATAAAAATGAGCTTGCATTTGGAGTCTAACATGGTGAGATAGGACCTCAGCTGATGCAAATAGGTGCCAACTGTCCAAGCCCTGACCTGCTGTTTGTGCAGTATTTGTACAGTATTTCTATGGTCTGTACAGTAGGCTCTCAGGTAAATAAAGTCTTCAAAATTCATCTGTGTTTTGGCTGGAATTTCCAAGTTTTTAACTATCTCAAGCAACATTATTTTCTGCACATTCATCAAAATATTTGCAGATCCTATCTCATTAGAAAAGGTCAATGAGAAGCACAGAGGAGACAGCTAAAAGGTGAATAGAATGTAATTTTGAAATCACTGGCAGCAGGCTCACTGTCTAGGATTTAATTAGGTACAGCTTATGGCTGCCAGGCTTTTAGTAAACTTCCCACCATGAATAGTGAATATGGAGAGGATCTAAGTATGATTTTTAAGAAAGAATTATGGCTACTGTTGGGGACAGTGGAAAAATGCCTTGAAGTACAAGATGCCAGCCACCATAATGTGTTAATCTGTATAGGACATTAAAGGCTGACCCCTCACCTGAGACTGTATTAGAAACAACAATTGCTAGCCACTGCCACTCTGCATTAGCTGCTTCTTTCACCAAGTGCACTTGGATTAGTTTGCCTTCTTCAAGCAGTAATCAGGCTGCAGTTTAATCTGTCAGAAAATGACACTGGAAAATCTCTGCCAGTGCTGGACAAAGTGCTTTTTAGGGTGTGAATCTCCTCCTTTTGGAATTTCCTGTGGATTAAGTTGGAGGTGGATCAGATCACGGTAGTATGAAAATCTAAACAAGCAAGCATGTGTTCTCTGACTGATCTGTGCCTTGCTTCTGTATCTGGGATTGTGTCTAGGCTGACCTTTAGTTGGTAGGGCAAATACCTGGACTTGCATGAGGCTTTGGTTACCTGCCCAGGTGCACAGGACTGCAGGATACAGCCTCACAGCGCAGCTGCAGGAGAAGCTGTGAAAGCAACCAAACATCATCATCTTTATTGTAACAAGCTCCAGTTTCATGGCGTTCATTTCAAGAACTGACTACAAATCTGATTGGTTTGTAAGGGATTTGTGAGTTGCGTGGCACTGACATATGCTGATGCATACATATCCTTAGCTGGGTTAAATATTTACTTTGCTCAGATATACTAATTACCCTGGACTATAAAAAAAATTTTCAATACCTTTTCCATGCTTTTACTGCTTGATGTAAGGTTTTCTTTGGAAGAGAGATGGGGTCAGGAAAGGTTAATGAAATCCAACGTAATCCTACTGATACAAATTGAGTTTCCCTGGATTTACTGCTGTAAAACAGACTTTGGGTGAAGTGGTCACTGTAACTACTTCATGTGTTTTAATGAACAGACTTGTATGGGTCATCCGAATCCTATGGTATTGTTTCTCCCCTGTGGCCAGATGAATGGAGTATCTCAATCAGAGGAATAATAAAGAACAGAGACTGCACAGGCAGTATCGATTGGTCTTTTATATGCACAGCTCTTCCTGTCTGTAGCGAAGGGCAGCCTCACTTCCACAAATGCAGTTGGACAAAGAGTAGTCACGTGTACACGCCTGGCCAAAACATTGGCTACGTTAGTAGCTCTGAAATTGAGAACAATTCCTTTCAAAATGCCTTTTTTCTAGCTTTCTGCTTGCTTTGGCTTTGGCCTTAAAGGGGAGACGGCATCAGTCTTCAGAATGCTAATCTAAAGCAGTCTCAGGGAGGCCATAGCTGCATAAATACACCATGACTAGTTAACTCTTCTCGGTGTCACTTCTTCGTCTGCTGCTTAGCAGGCTTTTAAAAATTACTGAGGTGGAATTGCAAGAGGAGAACGGAGGCAGTAAGTGCCATCCTCTTTCTGTTGTGGATACAGGAAACACTGCCAATATGCTGTTTGGCCTGGGGAACTGGGTGCAGTTCCTCCTGCTGATAGGTAATTTTATGTGGCACTATTCCCTACTCACCTCTTTTTTATAAGGAGCGATACAGCTCTTCTGCACCGGATGTCAGGTACTTAACTGCACTGACGAGGAAGATACAGGGCTAAAAGGGAACACTGAAGTAGAAAAAGGATGGTGAAGATTATGAGCAAGATTGTGAATAGTGTATGTTTTCATGTGATGGCTGAACTGGAGAAAGAAATGTTTGGAGTGAAGTGGAAGTGAGATAGTATGTTCTGTTTGGCCTGGAATGCAACATTTTGTTCTCTGTAGGCAAAGAATGTTAATTTAATTTATAGAATCATCTAGAAAAGACCTTGAACATCACCAAGCCCAACCATCATCCTGACCTACTGAGTCCTGCTGTTTAACCATGTGCCATACCCACACATTTTTTGGATACCTCCAGAGATGGCAACTCTACCACTTCTCTGGACAGCCTGTTCCAATGCTTGGCCGCCCTCGCCATGAAGTTCTTCCCGAAGTCCAATGTAAATGTCCTCTGGTGCAACCTCAGACCATTTCCTCGCATCCTGTCACTTACCACCTGAGAAAAGAGACCAGCGCCTCCTTGCTACAACCTCCTGTCAGGTATCTGCAGAGAGCAGAGGTCTCTCTCAACCTCCTTTTGTGCAGACTAAACAGCCCCAATTCTTTCAGCTGCTCCTCATAGCTCTCACTGTCTGGTCTCTTTGCCAGATTTGTTGCTCTTCTCTGCTCACGCTGCACTGTGTCCTAACATGTGGACAAATGAATAACCTCCACTGTGGGTTTTATCTTCAGCCCTCACTCACAATTATTCAATTACTTTTTACAGACGAAATTTGGGTGGTGAATTTCAAAAGAAATAGTAAATAATTCTTGAGTAGCTGAAAACATTTATTAATCTTTTCTCCTCTCTCCCCTAAATGGGAACTACAAGAGAGGTCTGGCTCCAGATCTGCTGGAGCAGGAAAACGTGGCATTCAGGACAGAGCTGCCTGGCACTTTCACTCAGCAAATTTTCCCTTTCCTCACGGTCTCTGCTCCTGTCTGTCAGGACTGCTGACGACTGCTTGGTAGGAGGGCAGTAATCTGAGCTGCCTCTGCTGAGCAAACCTCTTGCATTTTACTGCGGGATTAGTGCTGAGGTGCCTCTGCGCACAGCACCTGTATCCGCGACTCGTTATCTTAATCGCTCTGCTTCCGTCGCTCCTTTTCTCGAGGCAGCAGTGCCGTTCCCTCCGCTGAAGACCGCGTTCATCAAGCAGCAGGCTGCCTTTGCAGCAGGGATGGGAATACCTGAGACTTGGGCTGATGTCTCACAAGGTAAGCAGCCTCTCGACAGCTAAAGGAAATCAAGCCGGGCTCGGCTTTGTCCCTGCGGAGGCGATCGGAGCTCGCGGCGGGGCTATGGGAGGGGGAGGGCGGGAGTCTTAAGGGCCCTGTTGGACCCAGCATCATAACCTTCAGAGCAAGTGGGCGTCGGAGAAGTGCTGCGGGGGATTATTCAGCTGCTGTTGCGAGCAAGCTCGCAGCAAATGGGCAGCTAGTGCCGAGTAACTGCTTAACTCCTGTCACCGGTTATGGTGTGCTGTGGTGTAAGCAAATCTGTAGGGCTTGAGGCTAAAAGAGTGCCACGTGTTGGCAGCGGAGCTGAACTTGTGTCAGCCTCCTGAGTTGTTTGGGATGTTTAAGGCCATTACCTCTCCTTGGTGTCAATGGGTACAAATAACAACAAGATCTAAGGACGCTGAATCTTAAGAGCAGAGGCTCTGACTCACATCACCTTGATGTGTTGGGTGTATTTTCCAATTTATAGTCTGGAAGACTCTGCTCCAGGAAGTAGAGTTGTTTAAAAGCCAGTATTTCCAACAGTGTTTGATATAGGCAGATGAGTCATACAGTCTGAGGTGCATTCTTCTTGTCTGATCCATACAGTAACATTGCAGATAGCAGAATGAATGTGAAAGAGAATGATTGTTAAGAAAAGGCAATCAGTGTAGCTCCTGTTTGGGCCTACACCACTTTACATTGGTTGAAGAGCTGTACTGCATTGTACACAGCTATACACTCTTTTTAGGCTGACTGTGAATCATGAAACTGAGTACATTGAACTTTGTTTCTGATTGTTTCTGGATACATTAGCTCTTCTAGTAAACCCATTAATCTTGAAACTCATTGCTTGTGTCATTGTTACTTGTATATCTTTAAAGTTTTGTTTGCTTTTGGTAAACCTAACCAACCATTTAGCTGCGAACTTCTGCTGAAACTTGTGGTAACTGTTGTTTATCTGCAATGCAATGATCCAGCCCATCCAGTGACGGCTGGCAGTGCAGGTGAAAGCAAGTTGGAGTGATTCTGGTGGAGCGTTAGAGTCTGTGTCCTGCTTTTTATAACAGGAGGTGTTTATTTTTTTGCTGTAGTTTATCTGCCTAAGAAAAATGACTTGAAACAGTCTGTTCTGAAGCCACAGAAGCAGCAGTGACTTTTGAGTACAGCATGCTGTCTTACCTCATATGCACTCATTACATCAGTATTTAAAGAGTGGAAATTTTGTCATTAAATCTAGAACTGGTGACCACAGCAAATTCCCAATCACTCCAGATTGCCCCCAGTTTTCCCTTTCTGCCTTGCATGTGATCCAGCACAATAAAAGCAAATTCAAGTACACATCTGGCTGGGGAAAGGCTGACCACGTGCTGTCAGTTTTCAGACCCCACTGCCCACTTGCGCGCTGCCTGTCCAACTTGAGGAAGTTGTGTGAGCAGCGAATGCGCTGACTTTGAGGTGCTCATCTTGATGATGCCTATACAGATGTGCATGTTTCCCAAGGTGCAGTGAGATGGGGAATCTCTTGTCCCTCACTGGGGGACCCGTGCACCACAAGGCTGTGGGGAATTCTGCAAGGAAGGTTGACACTTGCATTTCCCACGTGTTGTGACTCTCTCCGAAGGGGAGCGCCAGGCAGCACTGCCAGCCAAATGTTTAGCTCTAAATTAGTGTGGACAGTCTTGTGTGAGTACGGGATTAGTTTGGGTCTTAATCCATTGCCCGCTTGAGTGATTTGACATCTCCCATGGTCTTCATACCAGGTTGTAGGTGAGCCAGGCATGTATTTCTTCTCTGGGAGTTCTGTAAGCAGAGTGGTTCAATGCTGCATACGCTGTAAAGTGAAGAAGGGTGGGGTGTGTTGCTTCTGAGATGTGAAGAGATGCCCGAGTTGCCTTCTTTGCAGAGATTTGGTGGACACTTCCTTCCAACAAATTGGAAAAAAACAGTCTGTTTTATCTGGTGTGTTACGTAGTCTTACATAGAAGCCTTTTTGAAGCCTTCAAAGGGTTAAAGCAATACCTCCTAGAAACCCAAGTGGCTGAGGAAACACCAGATATTAACATTTACTTCAGTTGCCAAAGCCTGGATATTTCTTTCTACTTTTTAGATACTAGGGCCTGCGGGGACCATTTAACAATAAATGGTAGCAACTTGGTTGTTATAGGGCAACCCATGTGCATAGGCACTTAAGGGCTGTGCCAGCATCTCCTTTGTTCAATGAAAGTAACAGCAGGAATTTGATTAAAGACTGATAGAAAAGAGGGCGAGAAATGTAGGAAAGATTAAAGAAAGAAAGAGCCACCTGGAAACTTCATTCCCTCTTTATTTCTAACTTAAGCTCATAACTACCAAATCTAAACCATTGTGTGTGCGAGAGGGAGGGAATATTTCCTGCATGCCTGCACAGAAAAGACTGCACATGCAGCCTCACAGACTGACTTTTAGCAAAAGTCAGGCTCTATTCTCAAACTTAACACTTGCTCCTTGTCTGCATCAGAAAAAAAAAAAGTCTGAACCAGAAAATAACTTCATCCTGCAGTGCTTTGGAATGGCAACAGTGAGGAGGGTCGGGTGAGTCCCAGCCATAAAGGAGAGCGGAGAAGGATTTTGGCTGAATCTGCCGCCGAGCGGAGAGCACATTTCCCAGGCTGCCTGGAGCAGCCCTGCCGCTCAGCACAAAGCCGTGGCCAGCTGCACATGGCCAGCGCCGCGCTTCATCCTTAGTCTGCAGCATCTGCCGCTTTGTCTCTCTCCTCGTGGAAACTCCAGAAAAAAACAAAAAGAAGAAGGAAACAAGTGACTCCAGCAGCCAAATGCAAATAGCCCCAGAAGTGCCTTCTTATGTGTGATCAGCAAATGGCAGGAAAATCACATTCAAATTCCTTACTGTAGAGCCAACACATCTGTTGTTTAGGTTTAGGAGACCAGAACGGTAGGATGAAGTGTTGAATGTGTGGGAAATGATGGCGGGTCAGCTGCCTGTTGGCCTGGCTGCAGCTTTGCTCTGTGGCTGGAGGCATGTTTTCGCTCTCAGGCTTTGCAGGATGCGGAGATTTAGGCTGAGACCACGAGCTTTCCCCCCAGCAGCAGGGTTGGCAGTGAATTCCTCGACTGCTCCTTGTGTGTTTGAGTGCTCCTGCTGATAATGTTGCCCTGTGTGAGTGTAGATGAAGCAGCAGGGATGGATTCTGGAGTTCATTGCTGCTGCTTCTCGTGTCTCTGTTCTGTACGCCTGGATGTCTGTGCTGCTTAAACCATCTTTTCCTCACCTGGTACTTCTTTTGCTTCATCTCTAGATTATTTGCACTCTCTTGATCACATATTTTAGTTACTGACATCTATTAAGCAGTGGGACTTCTGGCAGTGACCTTGGCTCTGAACTGCTCTCCCCTAAAGCGATTTGGCTGTGATCATGTCCTCCATAGCAAAGGACATCTGATCTCTGTGCCTGGCTGTAGCCTCCCCACCTTGAGCATATATCCTAAAGGCTGCTGCCCTGTCCAGGGATGCGGGAAGGAGCAGTAGACCTACTTGGGATCAGGCCCTGAGGGGCTCATCTCTTCCTTGCCCTGATCCAGACTGGTGTAAAGAGACAAGCATCAGCAGCCTCCAGGACTGAACCTCCAGTTAACAAATCGCTTTCTCCCAGTGCTTCAAACCTTTAAATGATAACTGTTGAAATCAGGACAGAGACAGTGAAAGGCAGAGGAGATGGAAGGACTGGATGTAGGCCCTCTGCTCACATCCTGGCCCCACGGTACCCCGAGGAGAGTCTGGCAGGGTGTCGAGGGGGCTGCCCTGAGCCAGGCTGTGGGGCCCGGAGGAATGTGGGGAATGCGAATGGCATGCTTGAGTGGACAGCTTCAGAGCGAGGCGCAGGGATGGCTCTCACTGCCATCTGTTGTGAGCCCCGCAGGCCCTTGGCAACGGCGTCTCAGGAATGGGCTGGGTTTTTTTTTTTTTTTTATACCATAAAGAAATTCTTCCTTGCCCTCTTCCTTACTCCTGCATACGCAGACGCATGAATAAGCGGGAACGGGGTTGGGATTCCTGCTACAGAGTGATGCGTGTTAAAGGAGAAAAGGGGCTTACAGAGCTCTGCTTGTATTCAGGCTGGGGAGGTGTTCTTCTTGGAGCTGTGATGTTCCATGAGCGTGAGCCAATGTCTGTAATTTATTGTTAATTGCCAGATCTCACTTTGTTCAAATCAATAGCAGGTCTGTATATGCTGAGAAGTTTTCTTGGTAAAGTCTCTGGATTTATAGCCATCCATTTGTCCTTCTTGGTAAAACAGAGATCTCTTCTGTATTATTATTAAATGCCAAGGCTACAACTGGCGTAAATAAACCCAGCTCACTGACTTGCTGTCCTCATCATTTTCCTGAGACCTGACAGTGGCTGTATTCTACCTAAAGGGCTTTGCTGCAAAGTCAGGTGATGAGGTCAGAATCTTGGAAGTTGTGGACAGCTCAGCATCTTTGCTCTTTCTGAGAGTGGTAGATTTTTACACCAGGAAAGGTTTTGCTGTGGAAGAACTCCGTCTCCTAAGAGCAGCAGCTTTCTGAAGCTGCCAAGAAGGGTTAATGCTGAAACAGCCTTAATTCAAGCAGCAGGGGTAGGAATTGGGTGCCTTTCTCCAAAGAGCAGTTTTACAACTTCCGTATCCCAGAAAATTCTCTTCTGAAACACAGACTTGTTTTCTTCCCACACCTTAACTTTTCTTCTACCTACAGGTAACTGTGGCCTCATTCCTGCCAATTGCTCAACCTCTTGTCGTGACTCAGCAAAATTAGTTGTTTTTATCTAAGTGTTGTAATTCCTTTAAGACAAGGAATTCTATGGTGTAATTTTACATGAGGTTTTCAGAAGGTTTGAGGTGAGACATAAAGAAATAAGGGCTAAGTTAACTTTTCCAAGCAGCACATTGTTTTCTTTAGTGTTTCCTAGTCATATTCTGTGCTTATCTGCCTACAAATAAAGAAACTTGCAGAGAA